CCCCAAAACCCCAAAACCCCAAAACCCCAAAACCCCAAAACCCCAATGATTTATATTAAATAGATAATATGGACGAGGCCGATCAAATCCTTGTGACAGATCTAAACGGATTAGGAATCAAAGTTGACACTCTTCAGGAGGTTAAATCAAACACTTTTGTATATGCCATCGGAGTGGTCCTAGGTAACATTGGGAAGCTCCTGGGCCAGAATAACTTTATGACTGAAGAAAAATTGAGAACTACTCAAAACTTTGAAGAAGTATCCAATAAGTTCCAAGTGTGCCAGGTGCTTGTATCATACCTAAAGAAGCTAGGCTTCTATTACGACGTAAATTTTAACCACTTCTTCTACCCAAATATTCATCAGATCAGGAGAATCCTTGGATTCTTATTCGAGTACATCTCTAAGAAGGAAGAAGAAATCGCTCTTGCTGCCAGAGGTGAAGCCGGCGAGTTCGGAGCAGATGGTGAAGAAAACAACTATGAGTTCATGACTAAGAGAAGGCTTAAGAAATGGGTCAAAAAGCCCTGGATCATGCCAGAATTCTACGTCGAGACTAAGAACACGTTCCTCAGAAATAGGAGAAAGATTCGAGTCCTTGACGAGAGAGATAAAGAGCTTCTCTCAAACACTAAGAATAAAAAGGTTTTGGGAGTCCATGAGTTTCTTGACCAGGTTAAGGTCTTCAATGAGAGAATCAACTTCAAGAATGAGTCCCTCAACCCAGTCAAAATTGCTGATACTTCCTTCTACAAGGCATTTGAGACAGAGCAGAATGACACTAATGATTTTCTCGACGATGGTGAGAACGAGATGGAAATAAAGAGAAGAGAGTTCTACGAAGAAAAGCAGAGAGCTTTCGAGAATCTCAGGGACCTCATTCCAAGGAAGCCTCGTAACATCAATGAGATCATCAGATCACGCCAGAAATTCGCCCCTGAAGAAGACCAGGATATTGAAGAGTACAACTTATTCAACAGAAATGTAAAGTTCGAACAGGACAATGACTTCGCACAGAAAATGATTACAAAAATCAGAGAATCTAAGAAGACCTCAGAGGGCCCTGACACCTTCGACGACCCTGTCTCCAAAGAGCTCGAAGAGGCCAGGAAGAAGCACGATTTTGAGCTAAAAGAGATGGAAGACCATATCAACACCATTAATGACGAGTACAGAGTCATGGAAAGCAAGGAAGAAGACATGAACATTGATGAGCAAATTCAGATCAAGAAGAAAGCATGGAAAAAGAAGAAAGACATGCTCTCAGAGCTGGAAAGTCTTCAACAGAAAGGAATCGCTGGACTAGATCAAGAAATCGCTGATTTAGAAGCTAAATTCTCTGAATTGCAGAAGCAGCTTGATGAATATCAGAAGCCTATTGAAGAAGAAATTAGGACTGGTAACGAAGAGCTACAGGATATGAAATTAGAGTACGGCTTTAAAGCCAACCAGATTAAGGACATTAAGAAGCAGATCAAGAAAGCCTTAGCTGAGCTAAAGTACAAGAAGGAAATGCTAAAGTTTATGGAAGAGGAGTACTCTAAAATCCCCAAGGATATCAACAGGAACCAGTACATCAAGCGTATCAATGAAGTTGTCAATAACGTCAAGCTCCAGCAGGAAGAGATTCAGAGATCTCTCAAAGACCTGACAAGCATCCAAGAGGAGATCAGTGATGAGATCAGAAAGATCAGCAAGTTGGATAAAGAGATTGAGGATATGTTGTTCAAGCCTGCCCAGAAGGACAAGATTGCTAAGAAGATCTATGAGGAATATTTATCCCTCAAGGATGCCTTTAGCAAACTCATTGAGACAGTCCAGAGCCAGAACTTGGCCAAGAACGCAACCAAAGAGGTTAGTTCTAATATCGAAGCTTTCAAAGGCAAGTATAAGAACTTTGAAGATTATAAGAAGATCGAAGATGACCTTGTCAAGATGCAGGAGGAGAATGCTAAGCTAGAGGCTTATATCTCCAAGAATGCTTAAAGTTACTTTTTATTCAACATTCCTACTAAAAAGAGGGGTTTTGGGGTTTTGGGGTTTTGGGGTTTTGGGGTTTTGGGG